TTATTCTATTAGTCCTTGTACCGCTTCCCGGCTATCAGCTATTATGACTGTATCATTAGCATAGCGAAGATTACTAATACTGCCGTCCTTAGGAATAACACCGCATGTGCAAAAATTATGAAAATTTAGTTAGGCGCGAAAATTAGATCTAGATAGTTTATATTACATAATTACTTAAGAAAAATACAGTATTAACAATCCCAAATATATATTCTGAAAGAACTACTAAACCTAGCATATACGAAAAAATGCGTGAAACTAAGGAAGAACGCCGCAACTACAACACTGCTTAGGAAAAACCCTGCATATACTTGACGGAGCCTGCAGTTACTGTGTTTATTCTAAGTAATACACAATTGCGGTGTTTTTGCTACGTAATTGGCGCGATTTATTAATTTATTTAGTTTCTTCTCAACTTTTGTATGGTGCGGTTGTGTTAATTTGTGTCTTCAAAATTGATTAAGAAACAACGTAAATTCTTTACTGGTGAAAAGCAAGTAAGGTAAGTAGTCGAGATTAGGATAGATTACCTTACATACTTTTTTACAAGTGTGTTATAAATAAGTGAAAAAAATATAAGATGTTTTAATCAATTTCAATGAATTTATGTTTATTTTTGTAAAACAAAGTTGAAAGATGATAATTTAAATGACCAAAGTCTTTTTAACTGCATTTATGGTATTTAAAATTTGCTTGTACATATAACTAATAAAGGAAATCCTTTACAGGCAGATGTCTAACAGAAGTAAACTTTTAGTCAGCATGGCTCAAAAGGTACAAATACAACCTTGCGCTGAGCAGCCTGAACCTAACCTTACCATTTTACAAAATATTGACTGGTCTAAAAAAGAAAAGGAGAACATCTCTTGCCTCCAAAACTACTGCGATCCAAACAGAAACTTCAGTAACGATCCACTTGAAGAGCATTCCATTTTTACAAAAGATGGAATAGAGCTGAAAAATATTGATAAAGAGAATAGAAAACCATGTGTTCAAATACTTCAAGATGTTCTGTTATCTCAAGCAACAATTGGTTTAAATACGACAAATGATCTAGAATCTGTAAAAAATGTTTATGATGAGAAATTTATTAGATTAGACCAGAGTTTTATGATTAAACCGAAAGAAAATTCCAGCAATAATATTGAAATAACATATCTTAATCTGGAACCACAAGAAGTCAACTCAATTTCAAATAATACCTCCAAAACACTAGAAGGTTATAGCATAAGAGAAGTTAAGTCCATAAATATACAAGGTATATCCTTTAGTATGTTCTTATAATAACAAATTATAAAATATTATTTTATATTTTAGAAGACATTACGAATAACCAAGAAATTAATATTATACAAGAAGTACCAAAACTTGAACATGACCATGTGATAGATAATAAAGGTAAGTCAGAAAAATAATCAAAATATTTTTAAATCAAAATATTTTAATTTTTTTATATACCCCGTAACTACTGAAGGTACATTGTTTTGTTTATTTTAATAATAACAAGGGTAAAACATTTATTTTGTTTTAGCAGTTGATATAGAACACATAGAAAATAAAAACATACAAGAAGACATAATTCCGAACTCACAACAACTGCAGGATAAACCGCCTGAAGAAGTAGAAGTAGCACAAATTCAACTTGACAGCGAAGTAGCACCTTCGGAGCTAAATTCTGAAGGCAAGTAAAAAAAACTAGCAAATATTGAAATTAAACATTTTATTTTTCTAGGCTCATCCAAAGGTTACACAAAAAAAGGACAAAAAAGAAAACGGCGAAAAATTGAGGATAGTTTGGAAAAAAGAAAAGAAAGCAAGAAAATAGAAACGCAAAAAAAGCATGTAGTAAAACCACCTTGCAACATACAAAAGTGTAAGTTAAAATGTTTACAAAAAATATCGGAAGAAAGAAGAAGTGCTATTAATAGCATGTATTGGCAACTAAATTGGATTGAGAAAAAAACATTTGTCCTTAATTCCTTGTCACGAAAAGACATTAAAAGAAGAACTGTAGAAGCTGAATCTTCTCAAAGAAAAAACACGTTTAAATACTTTTTAACAAACGAGACAGGAGAAAAAATATATGTATGTAAATGCTTTTTTTTAACAACACTTGGTTATCACCAGAAAAACGATTGGCCAATTCAAGCATTCGTTAGGCAAAATGTGTTTCAATCGTCTACTCCTATCTGCCCTAAAAAAGATGGACGTGGGAAGGCGGCTTGTAAAAGCAAAATATCTACTTTAAATCTTGATACGCATATAGAAAGTTTTAATCCCAGTATATCCCATTACAGGCGTGAACACGCCCCGTACCGTAGATACCTGCCTAGTGATTTAACCATAGAGGTCATGCACCAAGATTATTTAGCAACCTACCCTCATAATCAATGCTCGTATGAGGTATATCGAAAGCATCTTAAACATAAAAACATATCTTTCACAAACCTGGGCCATGAAGAGTGCGAATTGTGTGAAGTATTCAAACTACACAATAAAGAACATAATTGTTCTGAGAACTTGAATCCAGCATGTAGTGAATGTGATAGCTGGAAAGAACACATTCAACGTGCCAGCGATTCAAGAGAATTATATCGTTTGGATACAAATGAACCATATACATCAACAACCCTTAAAGTCTCTGTTGACTTACAAAAAGTAATAATGTTGCCAAGGATAGATATGTTTAAAAAAGCAATATTTACCCAAAGAATATCGACATTCAATGAAAGCTTTGTACCCCTGGGTAAAGGAAAAAAACAAAAAACATTTGCATGCCTATGGCATGACGGTATTGCCGGACGGGGAAAAGAAGAAATAATTAGCTCATATAATGCTTTCTTTTTACATTACAGGGATATTGAACATTTTGTTCTTTGGGTTGATAACTGCTCAAGTCAAAACAAAAATTGGAGTTTTTTATCTTTCCTTGTATATATTGTAAATTCTGACGATATATCTGCTCAAGATATTTGTATTAAATATTTCGAACCAGGGCACACCTTTATGTCCGCCGATAGCTTCCACCATCAGGTGGAACTATCTTTAAAAAAACAAAAAAAAACCTACGATTTTAACGATTTTGTGACAGCTGTTGAAAATGCAAATTCAAAAAAGGTTGCAATAAAAACAATGCAGTATACAGATTTTTTTAAGTGGCAAGATTTCACGTCACAAGCAAAAATTAAAAAAATAGAGCCTCGACCTTACTTGTCGAAAATAACAGAAATTGTTGCCAACAGGGGATCATTTAATCTTAAGTACAAGTTAATAAATAACTCCGATAGTGTGTTGGAAATGAATTTTCTTCAAAATAAAGTTTTAAAGAAAAAACTTCCCAGCCCTCAGGCATTTACATCTCCATGTGGAGTATCAAAAAATAAAAAAGAAACCCTTATTAAAAATTTGAAAACCATAATGCCTTCAAATAGATTACAATTTTGGCAAAACCTTGAGGAAGATAAGGATTAAGATAATTTCTTTTGTGTTAAAATTTTTTCCTTTTGTATTAAATTTTGTTTACCCTGTCCAATAAATATGTTTTATTATTAGATAGACAGTTTTAATAAATTATTCAAAAACCAATTTTGTTGTTTAATTATGTTTTCTTTGACATTATACTAAGAAAAAACACCGCATAATCATAACATCAGTAGATGCTGTAGTTTTACTTAGCAATTCATAATATTACTTATAATTTTTTCCCAGTATCTGCCATGGTAAGCGAAAAATTAGGATAAACTACTGCCCTTTTTTAAAAAAACATAGTTTATTTACAGTTTTATTGATATAAAGTGAAATCATTTCAATCTGCATCGATGTTACAATTTTTTCACTTTTTAAAAGTTTCAGATTCTTTAAAGTCCATTAACTCATTATTATGAGTAGTGTAGATGCTGTGGTTTTCCTTAGGAGGGCAGAATAGTCTGTCCGTTGCTTTTGATTCAACGTAAAGATTAAAAAAGAGGGGTGACAGAACACAACCCTGTCGTACACCTTTTTCGATTGAGAAATATGACGTAGATTCCAGTCCTACTCTCACAGATGCCACTTGATTCATATAAAGGTTCTTTATGATTTTAAGGCCATTCTCATCTATCGAACGTTCCTGGAGCAATCTTACTGTATACAGCGATAGTCCTTGATCTATCTGGTGCCTTGGGTGGACATCGTCTCCTGGAGTTTTATGTTATTTTTATCAGAAATCAGTCAAAAGTCATTACTCTGGGATTTTTGGGATTGCTGAACACGAATAATACAACGGCGATGATCAACACATAACCGTACCATTCGAATTTGTTTCCTGCTCATCTTCTTCTATATCACTTAATTGCTTTTCTTCATAGTTCTCCATATTCGTGCAAGCAAGCCATTTTTTCTACATCCACATTTTTTTATAAAAAATGGTGATTTTCAGAACAATTTGAAATAGAGCGAGGCTAAAAACGCTCGTTAGCTATGTAATTTAGAGGATATCTGTGTTCCAGTACGTATGAAAGTGAGAGAGTCGAATGCAAAAAGTTGTATAGCGATTTATCTTACGGCGGAAAATTGGTTGGTGTAGTGCTTTTTAGTTCTTCATTGCCTCGCCTATATACTGTAGGAATAGGACCATGACTACATTGTTAAACAAACATATAACAAAATACCCGCTTTAAAAGATGACAAAACGCAAGTACACTTACGAAACACATAATAAAAACAAAAACGAGTCATCATTGCAGAGACAATCCGGAAAAAATGAAAACAAAAGGCTACGAAAAAATAGACTTTCATTAGCATAAGTCAAAAACATTTAATGATAATGTAGATCGAACTTTATGCATAATCATACTATTAACCTTTTGTCAATTAAAAATAAATTGTGAGTACAGTGACTTTAATGCTATCGAAAAAAATTGATACACCCAACAATCAGTACTATTTGTATTAATCCATTTTTAACTAAGATATCAATAACATTTTTAAATGTATTTAGATTCTTATAAGTCTAATATTAAATGAGTGGCTCAGAACCAGAGGTGACTTTACAACAAATTCACTCTTTTGAGATAATTGAGGGTAAAGTTAATCTGTTATATAAATTTCTAAATAAAGTAACATAACTTCATTTTGGGCTTTTTGTATTTCCGTCTCTTTTTTATCAAGTTCGATTCAGGGGCCCGGGTTACTTGTCCTGTCCACTGCAGGCGGTTTCGCTTAATTATAGTGGTAATATCTTTACTACCAAACGTATGATTGTAGATATTCTGCAGTTCAAAGTTATATCTACGCCTCCATATTCCGTTCTCACAGACCGCTCCGAATATCTTGCGTAGCACCTTTCTTTCAAAAATGGATAGAGCGGATTCATCTGCTTTCGTTAGCGTCCATGCCTCTGATCCATATGTGAGAACGGGGACTATCAGTGTTCTATACAGCCTTATACGAGTTTTTTGCGACAGACGTTTGTTAGGTAAGAACTTTGATAGACCATGATAACACCTGTTTGCAATTATTATTGGCCTTTTTATTTCCTCAGATGTGTTATTATTTGGCTTAACCGATGTCCCTAGATATATGACTGCTTCGAAAAACTTAAAAAACTATTCATTTACCTACTTCTGAACCCAACCCCCCAAGACTGACGCTCAAAATGGTATAACTTTTTACTGAACAATATATTATTATGGACCATACAGAGAACATGTTGGAGTAAAACTTCTACTTTGGATATGGGGGTTAGGCCTTTTTTTAAATAATTGTACCATACTAAAATAAATAATCTCTGTAAACTAAATTCCATGTAAAGCATTGAAAGTATTCATACCTTTGTTGATTTTGGAACCACTGCATAGCACGTTTTCTTCGCTGGTTGGAGATTATTTTAATATTCTAACATACATCTCATAGTTAGCTGTAGGTGAAAAACCATTGACGCCTAACAAAAATCCCACATCTCGTAATTCTAAAGTATGTAAATCCTTTTATTTGTCGAAGACATTGACATGTATGAGTCAGATTCAGTTCGATGATGAATGCATATATAATTTTAGTGTTTTAGTTGTGGAAGACCTTCCTTCTTGAAAATAAAAAGTTCACACACTTAATGAATTATGCAAGACCTAAACATATTCACCTGTTTTTGCATATTTAGGTATTTCATATTGTCATGACCGTGTTGCGAAATTAGTTTTTGTTTGATGGAAATTAACAAAATATGGGTTATTTGAATTTTTGATGGTTCTACGATTGCATCAGTTATTGATAATATTTGTTCACATTGCTACCCGCCTTTGTTTAAATTACTTAACCAGTTTGAGTGACATGTAGATTAGAATACACAGATAATAATTTGCATTAGAAAGAAACAATAGTAACTCCAGTAGAAAATGAGAAACAATCTTGGCAAATATAGGTACATATTGACTGTAAGAAAAAAAAATGTAACGTTTTTTTCACTATTTTTCGCCGTAGAAAATGTTCTAATTCTAAAAAAAAAGGTACAAAATAATAAATGATGACAAAAACTCCGTCGATGGCCCGTGTGCCATAAAATAAAAAAAGTCCAGAAAAAAATTACCAACCTGTCAATTTAAAACAAATTATAACCTTCATTTAGAATTAGAAGCATATTTCCTCTGTGGTTCAAGCATTCAAGATATCTCTTTTTTTTTTGTATGGTGCAAAGTATTCCAATATTCTAATCACTGGGGCGGGATTTCTGTATCCATATTTCTTTTACAAGGTGCTGTAATGCCAGTATGATATCGTGGCTACCTTCTTTATATAGTTCAGCCGGGTGATTTGTTTCTGGCTAGTTTTTAATTGCGTCGAGTTTTTTCTTCTCTTCTTCCTCTGTTTGGGAAAGTATGTAGTATTTATTTTTATATGTTACATTTTTTTACTTTCTTTTACTGTACCATAATATGATCTAATTTAATGGTACATCTGCTAACTTATTTGCTTTAAAATATATTGTTTTCTGTTATTCAGTAAAATCTCATTGTTAAACTGGCTTAAACACTATAGGTTGTTCAAAGAATTTGACTTCTTTTGTTGTTTTTGGAGATAATTGGTCGCCAACACACACAAAACGTGTAAAGTTATCATATTTACTGTGACCATGAGTTAAAATTATCAGCCATTCAAGCGCATTACAATAGCGCTGGATTTTTGGATTTTTATGGCTGTTTTGTTCCATGAACCACCTAACGGTGAGAGGGTTCTTTCTGATCACTTAAGAAACACTTCCTGCTGAAACAGCGTACAATAAGCACGGGAAGTCCCTTCTTTTTTCGCCTCGGATGCCGTCGCTACCGTCAAAGCTAACAATCTACTCCACTAGCTACGATTAAGTATACGAATATACCAAGGTCTATGTGCTTTGTACATTTAACAGTAATGAGTTAAAGCTAGTTAATTCTCGTAATTTATTCACAATTGAATATTTGCCATTTTCGCTACTTTTATTTACAGTCAAAATATTGCATTTTTCTCCATTATTATTCTAATATCATTTAAACAGCAACCTCTTAAGTTTAACACAAACATTTGGTATAAGTAAACCTAAACACTTTCCAACAAAAGAGCTAACAGAAAAGTTGCTAAAGAAACCATAGCTAATGGCGATACAAAAATCGACGAGTCATCAAGTAGTGATCAAGATAGAGGCAGAAAGTCGTCACCAAAAAGAAACTTCCCAAAGTCAAGCAAAAAAGGCGGTAGGTCCGCAGTGAAGAGAGCCGTCCACATAAAGAAGAGGGAAAGCGTATCCCAAACGAGGCTGACGGCGCCCATCGAAACAGGAAGCGACAGCGAAAAAGAAAGCAGGAGCGACACAGACCCAAACTCAGATGTGAATGGATCAGCGCACGCCAAAAAGTCAGTAAACTTGGTGGGAAAAGAACCACGAAAACGTGGTAGAAAACCAAAGAGAGAACCGTCAAAAAACGATAAAAGCGAGAAGCCACGACCGAAGGAAATCAAAGAGGAAGATATTCAGCCACAGCGTGACCACTTTCACAAACCACCAGTGGGGCAATTAAAGAAGACAGGGGAAAGTTTTTTGTAACATGGTCAGTGTTTCGAGGTTGCAACCGAAATTAGCCAAAAGCCGAGAATGTAGATGGACTATCAATCAACGTTCTAAGAATATGGCCAACATATGATGCCGATTCCTGAATCGGATTTTAAAACGACTATTTGTTATACAGTTTCTAACTCTCACACAGTTTCCAAAATAACAAAATAACTTAAGTCAAGTTCTTTGAACAAACTAAATGTGCTTAAGCCAGTTTAACACTGAGATTTCACTGAATAACAGGAAACAATTTATTTTAAAGCAAATAAGTTAGAATATACCATTAAATAGATCATATTATAGTACAGTAAAAGAAAGTAAAAAAATAAAAAATAACCTCTGTTAAGGTTTTCTATATATTTAAGGACCTTATTTAAGTGGTTTTTATTTTTTCCTTCACAAAATATAGATCTTCATTTAGAATCAATTTAATTGTTCGCTCTTAATGTTAATAAACAATGAAGAATTGAATTGATATATTGGTTCCTATTAGTTCATATAAAGTTCTTTTTTTTTAGTGTGTTTTATCACCAGCTTTTGATTGTCTCCAGTGTTTGATTCACCAACAATTTGTTTATCCTGGAGAGCGATTATTTAACTGTACTTACCCAAATAGTCACTCTAGAGGTATTTGTAAAATGTAATACCTTTCTTTGAGGCTTCGTTTGGTATATTAAAAATATCTTAAAGGAGTTTATTTAAATTTTTTATTAAAAAAAACAGTTTAAAAAAGGATGACTTGTTTAGGCTTATAAACATTTAAAATAACTTAGACTTTTTTCCTGTTAATAGCACTTTGTAATGGTAGGCTCATGAAAATCTGGTGAAAAACACACTTTTCAAAAAGAATCCAGTTCCAGAAAAAGTTCTATGATCAATAGGAAACCAAATCAATCAAGTCTTAACGGTCTCTTCCTCTATTTCGGTTTACTCTTTCTAAGTACAAGAAACCAGATCACCAAGGATGCTTTGCTGTAGCTGCGGAAGCTATGTTTGTGGAATGCAAAAAACTTTTAGATTTCCCCATATCATTTCCTTTACCCCTTATGCCATCGTCCCTGTTTTGCCTAGTAATTTATAGAAAGTCACAGATTAAAGCAATAATATGAATTTTAGTTTCGCACGCTCAACAAAAAAAATCTTTCGCAGATCTACATTGTGATTATAAACATAATGTATTTGATGCATATTATTGTTTACTTACATATAAAAAAAAATAAACAAAATTAAAGTGTATTAAATAAAATCAGTCTTTATATTGACAGTGACAAATCGTATATACAGATTATGCAAAGGCTGGTTTTCACGCTTAACATACGATCTATACACTTAATTAATGATGGTTAACGATTATACCTCAACTCTTTACAAGTGCATTCGGTAAAAAAAGCGTATGAACTTACAAAAGCAAACTTCCTATATTAATATTTATATTCTGCATTTTATTATACCATAAAATGTTAACTGTTTTTAAAACACTGTTTTATCTTTTCAGATTATAAGGTGTGTACAAAGAGCAACGTGAGTATGGTTTATAGTATATGGTTTGTTAATATTTATCTGAGACCTAGGCCACTTAAATTTACTTATATAACATAATTATATAAAATATTTTTTAATATTAATTACTATTTAAATGGGAATGAGCCACAATTAAACGTATAAAACAGGTTTATTGACGGTTCAATTTCCACATTCGGAAATCATTCCTCAAAATACACACATTAATAAATTAAATATAATTTTGTTTTTTGGTGAAAAATTCTTCTAATAATTATTTAATTTTATATGACTCATATAAATATTGACAATTTAGACATATTTTATACAGTTTAAAGTAGACAACTTTAAAATGATATGCCAATATTGCTGAGTTGCGTTCATGGGACGACTTTATTGTAAGATAGTTCATTCTATTACATGAAATCAACTTTAACTTGACAACATCCGTTGAAAGAACTGATTTGTTCAAATTTAGTAAGAGTATTAGGGAACATTGGTTATAAATAACAGTTTAATACTGTTTACAAATAATATTTTATTAAATATAATTATATTTAAAATTAATAAATAAAAAAATAACACTAAAAATCGACTTAAAAAAGGTTGTACATCCCGTAGTTATTAGTTGATTTGTTTTTTGATAATTTTGCAAAGAAAATACGATAAATGTTATTGTTCTAAAGTTTACCCCAGTTTTAAAAAAAGAAAGAGCAAATTTAGTCCAGTAGAACTCGAGATACGTCATTTTTCCGAGCCCTCTATCTTGAAACTGTACTGAGTTTTTTGAAGTGCGCTGTTGGAACTTCATTCGGCTACCCCATTTCTTTTACTCTTACTGGAACGAAAAGTACCATTTTGTTTACAACACTGCTGTTTAAACAATTTTCAGTAATTTTGTTTGCTAAAAGTTTTATTGAAAACTTTGACTTTCCTCATAAAATATTGGTTAAATTTCAGCCCTTAATGTAAAGGGGCTATCTTGCCTCCTAAAGATTGTAGACTTCTTTTTTTATCTAAAAGTTGTATTTTAAACCGTTTTCAGAATATTTCTTGTGATTGAATTTGAACTAAATTCTACGGAGGTATTGTAAATGTTTATAAGCTTAAAAGGTGTCATTTATTATTAAATCATTTTGTGTACATAAATGTAATTTTTTTCCATATAATATTAATATACGTCTTAACAAAGAAAATAAGCCCCAGATTATTGAGATACATTTATTCAAATTATCTGAATTGGCCTTAGAAATTAGCAAATTTTTTCAAAAAAATCTTATAAACATAATAATATATTTCGCAAAAACTATTCAACCGATCTGCTTCCCCTAATTGCATTTCTTTATGGTTTAAATTTTAGTTTATAGAAATATTAATTCTCTTCACAGATGTATTTTTTCGAACCTTATCTGACCATTTCTTCTTTCGTCTTTCTCTTCCACTTCTTTCAGGAATTTGTCATTCAGCATTTTGGAGGATTATCATAATAAGATTTTGAAATTTAATAACCACACACTTTTAAATGCCCACACAGTAGGGCACAACAAATGACTCGCCTTTTTCCATTTTCGTCCATTCTTCTGTAACTTAATCGCCCGCATTACCGTATAATACCCCGTTCTACTCCCTTCTCTACCCCTTCTCTTTTTTATCGTACTAAGTTTTAAACCTTTTTCTTCTAGATCCTGTCTCCACCGCTTCAACCTTTATTCTAATAATTCTCTTTCACTATTTCGTACTAACACCAAATCACAAACGTTCATTATCCACCTTGAAATTTCACGGTTATCTGATTCAGCACTAATAAGAACAAATAAGAAACTATCACCGAAAACTATACAAAGAACGAACCCTTTGATGGACTGAAATGTCTTTTGAAACCAGTCTCCTTCTTTATAAAGACGAAAAAAAAAGCTCTACTTGGATTCAGAATCTTATATACTAAAACGCTAAGCTCTTTTCTTGTCCACCACTTTACCTCAAAAACCATATTAGATAATTAAAATATTTTTTTTTTGAATATTATTAGTATTACGTATGAGATTGTCAAGATATACATTTGGTACAAAAATTCACTTCCGGTTTTGAGATGACCGGAAGTTAAACTTTACTTTAAGTTTTAGACCCCACAATGTATATATGGATCGAAAGGTCTCGTCGGAGACGAATCTAAATATGTACTCTCCGGTTGCGATCCGACACCGGAAGTGACCCGAAACGCGCATAAAACGTCAAGATAGAGCAAATCTGACACCTGATATCGTGATGCCCGGTGCCAAGCAAAGTTTTCAGAAAATGAAGACATTGTAACAAATAAACATTGTTTTCGACGAAATATTTCATGATATTTAATACACTTTTTACTTGCATTATTATTGATGAATGTTATGTATATTCTTTGCTTATATTGCTTGTATTGATCTCTTAATTTTTCTCGCAAAATAAAAATTTCATTTAAAAAACTCGATGTCGAGTTGGTCCGCTAGTATAGTTCTAAAACTATTGTATAATTGGAATGCCCTATGTCTGGACTTCTCGTTCGAAGACGTAAAATAATATGCAGTCGAATGTTCTGGAGCAAATGATTTATTGGTAGCTCAAAATTGGAACACTTAACGTAGCTTCAAATGGACTAAACGTATTGGGAAGGTGAATATTCTGATAGACAACGTACACAAACGGGTTTCAACCTTAATTTATCATAATATAAAACAATTCATCAAAAAAGCAAACAACTTGTACCTTTGTCCTGAGATGCTTACATTCATAAAATATTTACATTATTAAGTTTATTGTTTTAGTATTGTGCTATCTTGCTATTTAATTTTACCGGAAGGAAAATGACCTTATAAATAAATTAAAATATATACATTATTTACAATTATATAGGTAAAATTAGGAAGTTAAGATTAATTGTGAGATTGCAAATTAAGGAGGTTTAATTTGTGATTGTACAACTACATATTTTCTTATGATATCTCTGTTATCTACTAATTTTCGTTGTTTGTTTTTTCATTTATTATGTTGTTCTTTTTTATAGGTAAATATTTTCATATTTTGACTTCCATCAGTGATCTTAATATTTAGCTTCTATAATTCATTTTTTATTTCACAAGATCTTCTAATTTCTCCTACTAGTAAATTTCCAATTACCTTTTTTGAAATAATTTATCTTAATCCTATTAATAAATCATGATCACATAATTGATATTTAGAACAACGAATATACTATTATCTAATAATATTTTGGTTCACTTTTCACTTAATTGGTATTGAAACTGGATAGTCGACAAAGTAGTATATTATGTTCTATGTTATATAAACACATGCTACGAATTCGGGTGTCTACTCTTAATTTCAAATACACATTTTACAGTTGTATTTAGATTTTTACGCTAGCTATTGATAATGACCGAGATAATTAATATTTTTAGTTTTTGCTCTATTCAGTTCTGGTTTTATAGTCATAAATTTGTGTTGGATATAGACCA